GCAGGGAGCCCGATGCGGGACTCGATCCTGGGACTCCAGGATCATGACCGGAGCCGAAGGCAGTCGCTTAACCAACTGAGCCACCCAGGCGCCCTGGTCTGGAGACTTTTACAAAAGTCTAGGCAAGAGACAGAGAAAGGCTGAACCTTTCTCACCACAGGTAGCAGCTGTGGTAACTAAAGAGGGGACAGATGGAAGTTCTACCACAGTTGGGAAAAAAGCATTCTCTGCTTGGATGTAAATAATGAGAGAGAAAGCATCAAAAGTGCCTCTGAAGTTTTAAGTCTGGATGTGGGAGGACACAGGGAAGAGCCAAGGTATGGGAAAGAAGACAGTGATTTTAGTTTTAACAATTTTAAGTCTGGGCTGCCGTGGGAACAGATGCCCACAGGGCGCCGGCAGTCCGTGGAAAACGAGCAGGTAGGGCGGAGAACCAGAGTCAAGTCTCTCTCTCATTTTGCCCCTGCCTGTCCTTTTCCTCATGCATGTCACGAAGGACTGAGACGTTTGTGTCTTGAGCCTATGGACACACCTCCTTCCTCTGACTTTTTTCTCATGTATAATTGCAAGTTCTTCTTCCTCACGGAATTTGCAGGCGCTATGAAACACTGACCCATACAGACAAGATCCGAGGCTGAGGTGTCAAAGACTGCATCACTAGAATGCCAGGTCCCTCCTTGAATGAAGCGCCATGAGAAAGAGGCTTTGATTTACTCATTGCTAGATCCCCTGTTCCTCACACAGCACAGGGCCCCTCAAATGCCTGTTTAATGAACAGACTCATGAGCAATATGCCCAGAGTTACTGATTCTTGAGTAAATCACACTTCCCCCTTGATGGTCCTTACCACTTGGGCTTTGCAGTAGACCCAGAGGCCCCTGGAATTCTGACTCTTGCACAATTTCCTCCTCACTCATTCTCTCGCTGCCGGAATCTTCTATTATCGCCTCTTGCGAGGCCTCCTCAGGTTCCCAGCCTGTCGGTTCCTGGGGTTCAATCTCAACATCCTCTCCTTCTTGCCCTGAGGGTGATGGGACTTCTTCTGGAGTGGTGGTGGAAGGAGCGGAGGCCCGAGCGTTTATCAGGGCATCCATCTCCTTGTAGAATGCGCAGGACTCCAGCACGTGACCATTTTTCACTTTGCGGTAGCTCTTCTGGAGGCTTTTGAACTTGGTCCGGCACTGTTCTGGTGTCCGGAGGAAGCCACACTCCCGAAGCTGTTCCGCCACGGCCCCATACAGCTTGCTCTTCCGATGACAGGCTTGGAGAGCTTCGTAAAACCGAGTCTCACGGAGGATATCAAGAAAAGTCTTGGTTTCCTCGTACCCCCAGTGCACACCTGCCATGGAAGGAAAAAATACAAAGACATAAGAAAAAACGTCTGCAGCCTCGAAACATGAGGGGTAAAAGAAAACAGATCCCCTTCATGGTGGCAACAGGAACTATGGCACGCCGGGGGAGAAGATGTGCAAAAAATGAGAGGGTCTATATAAAAAAATCTATAATTTACTGAAAAACATAAATGAACTAGAAAAGATGGAGAGACACTATGTTTCTGGATAGAAAGACTCAAGTTGTACAGATATCAACTCTCAAATGAATCTATAAAGTTAACATCCTGATAGGATTTTTAAACTCAAATTGTTAAACTGATCTCAAAGTTTATTTGGTAGAGTAAGAACGTAGTCCCTCAGATCTGCCATTGTTATGGCGATTAACCAAGGATTCAGCGGTCTTTTTAAAATGGTTAAAACTAGGGACACCTGGGTGCCTCAGTCGGTTAAAGTATCTGCCTTCGGCTCAGGTCCTGGGATTGAGCCCCGCGTCGGGCTGCCTGCTCAGTGGAGAGCCTGCTTCTCCCTCTCCCTGCTGCTCTGCCTACTTGTGCTCTCTCTCTGTCAAATAAATTAATAAAATCTTTAAAAAAACAAAAAAAACCAAAAAACCCCAAATGGTTAAAACTAACAGACTAGGACACTCTTTTAACCAGTCTTCCTTAAAGAGCAGAACTACATCCAGAGTCATTTTTGAGGTCACTGAGTCCTCTACTGTGAGAGATGAAATGACTTGCAAGATGAACAGATGTTCTGCTTCTATGGCAGAATCAAACTTTTCAGGACATGTCTGCATACAGTTTGTTAAACTATGTTTTTTGTGTGTTTTGTAAGTAGGAAGAAGTCACTTCTATGCTCGGTCTTACCCCACCTCTCCTCCACGGTTAGCCCTGCATTCCCGCACTTGGGACTGCCCTCCTGTCTACGGATTTCCAGACTGGGGAACACCTGTACATGCACGATGCATCTTCCCCGTGTTTTCCTGAGCTGTCTCTTTTGAATAGATGCAGTCATGAGTGCACCCCAGCTCTCCTAGCCTGATTTATTTTTCCACTCTAAGAACTTACCATCTTTTTTAAAAAAGATTTTATTTATTTGCTTGAGAGAGAGAGAGGGAGGAAGCACAAGTCGGGGGCAGAGGTAGAGGGAGAAGCAGGCTCCCCACTGAGCAAGGAGCCCAATGTGGAGATCAATCCCAGGACCCTGAGATCATGATCTGAGCCAAAGGCAGACACTAACTGATGGAGCCACCCAGGCACCCCTAAAACTTGCCATCTTTTCATAAGGTGGAGTGGAGAAACTTTCCTAAAAATAATAATACCTGGCAATGTCTCACTGCATTTCACCAGAATAAAGTCTCTCATTTTGCCTTGCCTATCCTTTTTTTCATGCATATTATGAAGAACTGAGATGTTTGTGTTTAACATCTGCAGAATGCCTTCCCCAATTTTTATCTATTACCTCATTTAACACTAACAATCCTGGAATCCTCAGTCACGTTTTACTGATGAAAAAACTGAAGCTCGGGCGCCTGGGTGGCTCAGTTGGTTAAGCGACTGCCTTCAGCTCAGGTCATGATCCCAGGATCCTGGGATCGAGTCCCGCATCGGGCTCCCTGCTCTGCGGGGAGCCTGCTTCTC